TAAAATAATTTTTTATTGTCATTTGCTTTTTGTTCTAGTCTGAAATTGATGCTCAATCTGAATATCTTTCACAAAATGTTCTTAATATAACATCAAAATATAAAGATAAATTAAATATAATTAAAGTTCGTTTGTAAGTCTTTATTTAGAATCCCAAAAAAAAAGAACAAGATTAAAGAAATTTTGATTATTATTATTGTTATTATTATAGAGAACAAGCAGAACGTGAAAGACGTGAAGTACAACTTCGTAATGAAAAATTTCAAAATGATAGACAACCGTTTGATGTAAAAAAGTTTGATATAGTTTCATCATGTCAATTTAATTACTTTTTGAATTGTTAAACAAAACGACTGCTGGTTCAATATCTGCTCCGTCAATAATTCCATTACGTGTTGGATATACACAAAAATCTTCCATTGATACAAATACATTGATTGAAATACGTAGTGATACAAATGATGTTGATATTTATTATACATTAGATGGTTCAAAACCAGATGCATTTATAACATTAGCAACACGACGTTCGACTATACAATATAAAAAAAACCATTTTATGTACCAAGAGATATAGCTAATACAGGCATCACGGTAAAGATATTTGGGAAAACAAAAAAATCAGTTTGAAGAATTTTTATTTTTTTTATTAAAATTTATTTAGTGATGGAATACGAGAAAGTGTTATAGTAACAAAAATATTTGATGTTAAAATTATTCCATCAGATCATTCATTATCGGATGAATATGAAAATCGATATTTATATGAATTACAACAAGAACGAAAGGTAAAAAATTTCAAAATGATAGATAATAAATAAATTCAATAGAAATTTACTTATCTCATGTTTATTGAAATACTGTATAGAATACTTTTTTTTTTATTATGAAATCATACCTATTTTTATATGAAATGTACAATGAATTTGAATCAAGTGAAAGAATATTCTTTTTAGTATTTATTTAAGTAATTTGAAACAGTATATTTTAGAAAAAGCTGAGTTTTCATTAAAAGAAACTATGAATTCGATTTTTGTAGAAAAACACATCTGAATACATTGAATCTTTCATAAAATATTACGAAAATAAAATAATCTGTTGGATATACGAGCAAGTTTATGTGTCATTATAGATGATTAATCAAGATGTTAAAGTTTAATTAAATATTAAATTTTTCAATATAAATATATTTTAGTTTGCAAAAATATTTATCTTTAATTTTATTAAAAAAAAATTGATATTCAAGAATGTCTCGATATTTCAAGAGTTCAATTAGAAGATCACTAATATGATAGTAGTAATTTAATGCTTGTCTATCGATATTTCTTCATTAAAATGTTTTTTTTTTCTATGAAGTTCAAAACTTATCAAAGTCATTGACACATCTTCAATTTTAGTTTTTAAATTTCGACTTGAAACTTTACATAGAGATAGATGTTAACGAAAATAATTTATTGCAAAATACTTTTCATTTCGCCGATAAGAATATATCTAAAAAACCATTTGTAAACATACAATTAGTAAAGCAATCGAACTTTTTTCTACATATTTAATTCAGTTAAATATTTATTAATTGATTTTATAATTTTATTTCAATAGGAATTAATGAGAAAGATGCAAAATGAAAATGAAAAAATGCAACAAAAATTATCTGGTATCAAAAAGAAAAATTAATTTTATTGATTATTAATCAAATTTCTATATAGAATCAATGCGTCGTTCAACAATTGATTCATTAGTACAAGAAAATCCAACTAATTATACATATTCAAATTCTCAAATACAAACAAATGTTTTAAGGTTTATCGAAACAAAATTATTTTATTATTTGAGCTTTGTTTTTTCTTTTCTAGATGTGCACATTGTTTTGCACCTAAATCAAATGATTTATATACACGATTTTGTACGGAATGTGGTCTATCTTGGCAAAAACTAACTCATAATCCACCGGATAATTATTCAGTAATTCAAAGCAATTCTATCGGATATGATGACTACCCTTCATTTGAAAAAAAGAAACTACCTAATCCCATTCTGTTGAACAACTCATAGTTATTTACGAAATTATTTTTTCATAAAAGTCATTATACCAGCTAAGATATATAAGAGCAATGATGAGTAATATGATCTCAAAAATAACCTATATCTGACATATATATATGAGTCTTTCGAAAACAGTAAAAAAACGTTTTTCTCTTTCAGAATCTTGATAAAGCTATTAATTCTTATAAGAAACCCGAACATATGTTGAATGTGATAGAACTACATATCTGAATCACATTCGATGTTCTGAAGCCTAAAAACAAAAAGAAAGCTCATATATTTTTCTATTCTCAGGAATCACACTTATAGAACACGGAAAAAGTTGCATAGTTGATTGCCTTTATCCTCGACAGTCATATCTTACAACAGCCATCATTGCTATAATACCTGTTAACTAGTAACCCCCCCCCCCCCCCCCCCCAGAATAAAAGTGCATGCCCTTATACAGTGTCTTGGCACATTGCTATTTTTTGGATGGCCTTCTATTGGGGGTCAATTTTTGGTCAGTTTTTAATTAAAATCATTTAAAAAATGAATAATTAATTAATAACTTTAATTATTGTTTTTTGCTGAAAAAACTACCATTTTTTGTAAAAACTGTACTAATTATGATAGGAAAGGAAGGATTTCGCAAAAAAACATTAGAAAATCGGTTATATTTTCTTAATTGGGGGGGGGGGGGGGGGATATATGGCTTTTCAGAACTGTAAAATTTGATAAAGAGTATATCCTTCGACGAATCATGTATTGTTCTACATAACAGTATTGATTACTTTACAAATGAATAGTAGTTATCTTATTTTACACGGATAATTTTTCTTTAACTAGACTAATGTATGTACAAATTGTAAATCTACTATTCCATTTAATTCTAACACATGTGTTGTATGTGAAACACCAATATCCAAAGAACCACAACAGCGACCAACTTCTCAAAATCAGGTTTCAAAAAAATTAATCAAATTTTAATGTTCCTCTCTGGACAAGAATTCTATGTCCTGATTGTAAATCAACAAATCCAATATATTTACGAACATGTTATATTTGTGAAAATGTATTAATGCCAACATCAACACCACCAGTAAAAAAAAAAAAAATCTTATTTATTTTTTTTCCATATTTATATTTCAATAGGAAAAACGAACTTCAATTTCAATTCCAACAATATCAAAACAAACAAATACAATGATGATAACATGTCCAAAATGTTTTCGTTTAAATAATCCTAATGCTCGTTTTTGTGATTGGTGTAGTGCATATCCTGATCATGCATCTATATCAATACAATGTACAAAATGTCATACTAATAATGATTCATTTGGAAAATTTTGTTCAACATGTGGATGTGTTATTGAACCACCATTACGTATTATTGATACACGTCTTTAAAATGATTTGAATATTTCATCGTCATCAATGATTTCTAGTGTATATTAAAATTAAAGAACAAAAAAATAAAACGATTCTTATTTTCTATAGACATTAACACGTAATTCAGTTAATCCTGTATGGCTTAATGCAAATACAACATTAACTAATTATCATCAATTATATTCAACAATTAAAAAAGAAGCTGCAACACAAACATATGGAATTTATTATCCAAGTGCAAAAGATATTGATTTAATTATAACACAAAATAAAAAATTATTAAATGGAAAAGAATTAAAAGAATATCGTCCAATATTAACATCTACAAGTCCAGGAAAAGGATATTGGCGACAACAAGTAGATCATATTTGTGCTCATTTAAAAACTTATGCAGTTAATCGACCAGATTTTCAATCATTGATTGGTAAGATCTTTAATATTTAAACAAACTAATACTTTTATTTTGCTATAATCAATAATGACTATTATCTAAAATATAAATTCTCTATATATATATATATCTTATATATTAATATTAAAAAAGTTTATATATTATTTAATTATTTTTTTTAGGTGAACCACGTATGGGTAATATGATTCATGCAACCGTACATGAAAATGAATATCAAGTAACTATACAAACAGTATTTCGTAAACCAGAAAATCTTTCACAATCACCATTTTTTATTAATGAAACAAATGAATATTATCCAATAGATAATGAACGAAGTTCACCATATTCGAATACAATTTATTCTGATAGTAAGCAAAAATATTCTTTGCAAAAAAAAACTTTGTTTTTTACATAGATGAATATCCAAGAGAAATTACAGAAAATATTGAGTGTAAGAATAAAATATTTTATTATAATTTCTTTTTCTCTTATTAATTATCTATTATAATTAATAGTCAACTCATGCATTAATTCGATTATTTGAAAAAAGAAATAATAATTATAATAAAAAATCAGCACATCAAATCGATATATTAAAAGAAGTTCAACGTTTAATAAAAGAAAAAGCTGATGTTAATATTAAAAATAAAGATGGTTATACGATTCTACAATTGGCTATACGTAATGGATATTATGAATGTTTAGAAACACTTATTATAGATGGAAAAGCTAAATTAGATAAAAAAGGACCGTGAGTTCTCTATATATCTCGAGATTTTAATATCAATTGAAATCAAAGATTGATTGTGTATTTTTTCTTTTTTTGTTCAGATAAAAATTGATATTCAAAATGTTAAGAAATATTGATTTTGTTTTGTTTTGTAGACGAGGTAATACAGCATTACATGAATGTTGTTTATTAGGACTTGATGGTGCTGAACCATTAAGAATTCTTCTCAAGTAAGTTTATATTTTTTAATTAGAAATTAAATAAGAAAATAATAAAATTTAATTTTTTTTTGATAAAAGATATGGAGGTGATGCATCTTCGTTAAATGATAAAAATGAAAGTGTTATTGATATAGCAGCAAAACAAAATTGTCCAGAATTATTTCAAGCTTTTTCTAAATATCAAAGTGAAAAAATGCTTAAACAGCATATGAAAAATTCTTATGGTGATCATACAAGAATAAAAACTATTCATGGTCATCATTCAACAGAAAAATTATAAAGAAAAAGAAAAACTAAAAGTTTTTTTTTTTCTTTCTTCATATTGGATAATAGTTGATGAATGTTTGTTTTTTGGTTTTTTTATTATTGTTTTTTCTTAGCAACTGAGTGCTTTGTGTTTTAAATTCTTTCTTTGATACAAAATCTTACTGGGGATTAACAAAACTAATAAATAATGTCAAATAAAATGAAAAAAAAAGAATATGAATTAATTTTTAGTACGACTAATGTAGATGGTTATTATTTTAAGTCTTCTTCCCTTTATCATTACGATAAAATTCGCTAAACTCTGAGTTAGATCAATTTATTGTTAGGATGATTTGTAATCTTTTTGATCAAGATTTTATTAATAAAATCTCAAAGGTTGAAAAACGACAAAGTTTACAAAAAGAAGGGACTTGTTATCAGCAAAATCGTCCGTACTTTCTTATAAAATTCTATGTTATATTACATATTTTGTCGATATCAGCAACCTTTGACTAATACTATAAAACCTTCTAATGCATTTTGTACTGTATACAACGAGATTTAGCTATGTTTGATGTCCTCAGAAAGATTAAGTTATAGAATGTTTTCATGGAAAATACTTGATTTATTTGCTTATATATTCAACTGATCTATATGAAAAATTAAGCTGTTTTAGTTCTCTGCTGAATAGAATGTGAATATACAGTATCTCCAAAAATTATTTGGACACTTATCTTACCTATCTTATAAATCGAATTTTATCATGAAGGAAAAACATTTTCTTGACTTTCTTGGTATCATTCGATAGCTCGGAATCTCTACTTCATTGTCCAAGGAAAAAAATTTAAAAACAACAAGATTTTCATAAATTTTTGAGGGTTTTCAGGAAACCACTTGATTTTCCAGGCAAAAAAATTATTTGGACACTTACGTTTTTTTCTCGATAATTCCTCTATTTTTCGTCAAAACCTATTCAATTGTACCCCATCTGATAGAGAAAACATTTCTCTACACGTTGGTATAGCTTATAATTTAAAAAATATTGGTGAAACCTTAAAATCCCTCTAATACCTGAAGCACCATAGGTTTTACAGAAAACCTTAGGATTTCAGTC